GTCTATGAGCGTGATGCTACAAACTTTTTTGCAGAACCTTTTCACTTTCATCGGATTGGATGAGGATCGTCCATTTTTAGATCAGATGTTCAATCAGATTCAAGTTTGTGCTCTGGGACACTGAAGACCATTCAAACACAAATGTTATTTGTCACTTCACCCCAATCTCTGCAGAAGGCTACCATCAGAATGTCTCTGTACATTCCTGCATTCATCTCTCCCTTGACCACGACCAGTCTCCCAGTTCCTGCTGGCAAAAAGATCTCCATAGCATAATGTGGGCCCCACCATGCTGCACTATAGTAATGGTATTAGCATTCAGGCCAGAGAGTTCAATCTTTGTTTCATCAGATCAGATAATTTTGTTTCCTGTGGTCTTAGCTCTAGGAGCGCTGTCGGGCCATTTTCCTGAAGAGTGGCTTCCAACTGGACACTATCATAAAAGCCTGATTAATGGAGTGCTGCAGAAATGGTTGTCCTTCTAAAAGGTTCTCCTCTCTCCACAGGGCAATGCTGGAGCTCAGGCTGGGAGGTGACTGAGAACTGATGATCACTCTGACAAAGGCCCTTCTACACCGACTGGCTGGGTGTCCAGCTCTACGAAGAGTCCAGGTGTTTCAAACTTCTTCCATTTATGGATTATTGAGGCTGCTGTGCTCACTGGGATCTCCAAAGCTGCAGAAACGTTTCCGTACGCTTCCCCAGATCTGCGCCTCGATACAATCCAGTGTTGGAGGTCTACAGACAACTCCTTGAACTTCATGGTGTGGTTTGTGCTCTGCACTCTCAACTGTGGGATCTTATACAGACCAGTGTATAAGATCCACTCAGTTGACTTGGTGGTGTCCAGTCAACTGAGTTTACCACAGGTAGACTCCAAACAAGCTGTAGAAACATCTGACAGGAGTCTGGAGGAAACCAGATGCACCTGAGCTCAGTTCTGTGTGTCATGATAAAGGCTGTAAATACTTAATTAGATGTTATATTTTTGTTTATTTTTTAATACATTTGCAAACATTTCAAGCAAACCACTGTCCTTCGTCGTTATAGGATTGTGTGTAAAATTTTGAGGTGAAAATGAACTGAATCCATTTTAGAATAAGGTCGTAACATTACGACATCTGGAACAAGTGAAGGACTCTGAATAGTTTCTGGATGCACCGTAAAGTTGTCGTTACTCGATCAAGAGCGAAAGGATAATTCAGCATCATGTAATACTGTAGTCTATGGTTTTTATAGAGGTGAGGATGCAAAATGATCAGAATAAAATAAAAAGAAGTCAAATGAAGAGAGCAGCCCTACATATTTGTCTAATATGCACACTACAGGATTCCTCACAGTGTTACTGGAGGTGTTGGGTCCTTGTATGTGTTATCTAGAAGATCACTTTGTTGTAACTGACAGGTGCTATGAATTTAAAATGTTTTTCAACAATGTTACGTTATCGCTAGAACAAAATGCAGGTTTCAAAGATTACATGGTATGTTGCAGGTAACCCGTGCCATTTTACAACCAGAACACAGTCCTGCCTCAGACAGCTGTCAAACACAAGGGATGGTAGAAATCCAGCAGGAACAGGGAGGATCTCTGTGACAGTCGAGTTCACCTGCAGGACGATTTATTAAAACACTGACAAACACAGATTCTGACTGTTTGTGAAAACCACGGGCATCAAATGATGTGGGGGACAGGGCTACAGCAGCAAACACAGAGGTACACAAAGAACAAAATGACATTCAGTATTTACTTCCAGATGTTCTTTTATTGTACAGGAGGCTCCTCGGCGCCCTCTGGTGAGGCATTGGGGTCCAAGAAGTCTGGGTGCTGTAGTTCCTTTAAATATTTTGGCGGGGTGAGGATGTGGGTGGCGCCTACAGGAAACAAAATTCTCAAAGCTCAGCAAGTGCTGGATGAAAGCTTGTTAATAACGTGAGACACAAACAAATACTCTGCAAAGGTTTTACTGAAAAGTCACAAATGCTCGACTGTCCACAGAGGACAGTGTTTCTACACCAAACAACCAGGTGATGTTTCAGATTCAGAGGACACAGCAGAGCCTGGATCGGATCAGAGCGCTTTTGATAAAAATGAGTCGCAAGAGTTTTAAAAATACTTTAAAGTGTATTTTGTCCAGTGCTAGCTGTCAGCCTCATAGTATGGTACGGATTTCAAAATCCTAAATTACTTCTTAACATTCACAAGATTCTGAGAAAACTTGACCTCTGACCTTGAGGTGGAGATTAGTGCGATTCAAACTAATCTAAGATTTCTAGAAGATGCAGCTGTGGCATGAATTTCAAAATCACCTCGTTC